CTAGATGTTGCTTTAATTCCCTCTTCGCAATTAGGGGAAGGGGGGAGAAATGATTCTTCCAATCATGGGAGCCCCTCCGGACTCACTCGACGGCGGAGAGCCATTCGGGTTTTCTCCGCGCGTTCGAAAATTCATTCCTCCGCTCCTACTTCAGATTAAGGAATGAAATCATTGTCATTTATTGAGAATTTAATTCTCGATCGATTGGCATCGGCTTCAATCCTTCATCTCAATTAGGGTGGAAGAAATAAATTTTCCAATCGGGGGAGTCCCTCCGAGCTCACTCGACGCCGGAGAGCCATTCGGGATTTCTCCGTGCGTTCGAAAATTCATTCCTCTGCTCCTACTTGAGATTACCGGATGAAATCGTTGTCATTTATTGATAATTTAATTCTCGATCGATCGCCATCGGCTTCAATCCTTCATCTCAATTAGGGTGGAAGAAATGAATTTTCCAATCGGGGGAGTCGCTCCGAGCTCACTCGACGAGGGAGAAACGTTCGGGGTTACTCCGCGCTTTTGAAAATTTATTCCTCCGCTCCTACTTGAGTAGGATAGGATAGAATTTCCCGAAGATTCCAAAAAGCTTCATTGTTCTTCGTCCATGAAAAATGGTGATCTTCGGGAAACTCCGTGCGATCGCTAGACTTTTACCGATTTATTTTTCTCCGTGTGACGTCCGTATAGAAGATCAAAAAATCAATTTAACAATGGGATAAATGGAATGGAGAGAAAAACGTGAATATCTCGGAAATTAGACGCGATAAAATGGGCCCTTTTCACGTGGACGTACACATATAATTGGACTGAAATTTATAGAAATTTTCAATTTGCAATGACGAAATTCCTTGAAATTTCCGTATTACGGCAACGCGATAAAAATTCCCAATAAATGTTCCCGGAATTTCCGCGAAAATATTACTGAAACCTACAGACATCATTCCTGAATTCAAGACTTTCCTTTGATTTTCAGGATCATGTCACTGGAAATTTTTTATAAAATGACTTAATTTTAACATTACTTGCTCATTGCATTTCAGAAATGCAGCAGCCTAAAAAAGACACATCGATTCCTACGAACAACGTTTTTTTTTTCTCGGTAAATACAGACAATAGAGAAATGTTAGAGTGGAATTCCCGGATTTTTTTCACTCTCGATTAATTTTTTAAAGATTCAAATTGATACTTGATTCATTCACATCTTTCCATTCCATCGGGAGATATTGTCGATTGGAGAAAATTTGTGATGGTCACTGAAGGAGGCAAACCATTCATCTAAATTTCGCAATAATCTACGAAAAATCTTATTCATGAATCTATTATTATTGAATTATTATGTGTATTAATTATGTGTAGATCGCTGGAGAATAACGAAAACGTTCCAACCGTTCAAACGAGTTGGAATGTTTTCTCTCTCCTTCTTCTCCATTTTCTTTCTGACTCGTACTCGTTAAGTTTGGTGGAGGACTTGCACGTGCCAACGCGACGGAGACGACAATGAGTGGGAGCGAGCGCGATACATATTCTTTTCTCACTCAGGGGGGGAATTAGTATATTACGTGCTAAGGCGGAGAAGTGCTGAATTCAACGCTGGTGGAGTACAGGCGCACGAGGCACGTGAGTCGGAGACTTCGGCGGCCTCGTCTCCGACTCACGTGCCTCGTGCGCCTGTACTCCACCAGCGTTGAATTCAGCACT